CCCGATTTTCCACCCGGACAACAAAATTGAAAAACCATATTGCAGAATTCATAGCGCTGCCAGCCAATTCCAGTTTCCAACAATGGCGGCAGCGACTTAGTTTTAATATTACTCTTATTTCTCTTTCTGGGTCGCAAAAAAACAGGTGAGAATGTAGCTGTGTAAACTTCAAGTATCTGAGCCGACACATTGTTTTCAAACCCCCGCGGTCTTTCAGTACGCAGGTTAAACATGATATATGTCACTTTGATAATTAAAAATGTTATTGTTTGGCTTTTTCAGTGTTTTATTTGTTCGAGAGGTTAAAGTTATTAGATTAGATTAAATTAAATGTAACTTTATTAATCCCTCGGGAGGGGTCCTCCGGGGTTTTACACAGCTGAATAAACGTTAAACAGAAAACTAATTAAACAAATTGTGAGACGCTCGGAGGAATCGATATTTCAGGATCGATCCGCACATCACTACCAACTGCTAATAAACCCTATACTGAAGAAGAAGATTCAAGAGAGAGGAGAGGTGAGCTGTGTTACCAGATCCATGTTCTGTTGAATTTTGTTAATTAAGTTTTGTTAATTTATACATTAAATTAAGTTCACTAATAAATAACTAGTAAATAAATTGCTCACCTCTGGGAACCTGAAATGTCTACGTAGTCTGCTTTCCTACCACCTTCCTTGACGTTCGAGTCTGACTACTTCACAGGTTGAAACTGAACTTCTTTTTGTTAAACATATGAATGGCTGTCTGTCTCTCTATATTAGCCCTATATGCTAACATACACTACAGCTCCCCTGTAACCTTGAATTGGAGTAATAGAAGAAAATGGATGTATATAAATGGCCTGTATTTGTGTAGCGCTTTTACTAGTCCCCCCTAGGGACCCCAAAGCGCTTTACACACCCAGTCATCCCCCCATTCACACACTGGTGGAGGCAGCTACAGTTGTAGCCACAGCTGCCCTGGGGCAGACTGACAGAAGCGAGGCTGCCATATCGCGCCATCGGCCCTTCTGGCCAAGACCAGTAGGTGGTAGGTGAAGTGTCTTGCCCAAGGACACAACGACCGAGACTGTCCGAGCCGGGGCTCGAACCGGCAACCTTCCGATTACAAGGTGAACTTCCAACTCTTGAGCCACGATCGCCCCATACGTCAAAATTGCATATTTTGACATATGCAATAACAACATTTTATTGAATAACAATCTTGAAATTCTAGATATTAAAATCCTACAATCAAAAATGAGCCCAATAGTTAGTTTAGAGCTTTAGTGATCGAGCTTTACATAATAACTTGGTGGGAGAACTTAGTACTGCTGGAGCAAATATGCTCCTCACAGAAGTTGCTGGGGTTGAAATCTCAGAGTCGCCATGCAGTCTGTAATTGCTAGGCTTCAGGCTTTACTGGAGTGATTTTTCCAGTCATTTATACTTCACCCAAGTGCTGAATATTTTCTCAGACAGCTTCACCCTCCATACAGCTGCACCACAGGGCGGCGTCTGGGTGCACTTTCGACAAGGCCACCCTCTGAGACTTCACCTCTCTGCAATCCGTCTCTTAGTTTCCCGTTACATCTGCCATTTGAAATTGTGAGGCACCGTGCAATCATTCTAATCAAGCTGTTACTAGATGCCACATGGTCAGATAAACATAAAGGAACAAAGTGAAAAGTCCCAGTTTTCTGTTAATCTTTTCTGCACCTTTGACACAGAGCAGAGCTTTAGCACACAAAGTGAATAGCTGCTGAATCTGGCTTTCACTTCAGTCGTGCCGCATATGCTTACTCACCTTAAAGACCGCTCTTTACAGCACATCTTCCTCTTTTTTACATTTCAAATGCATGGTTTTCACTTGGAGCTTCTCTCTTACCCTCAATCCATTTAATAATGCACGCACTTTAGCACAGCCTACTTCCATGTCCTTAAAATTGTACAAAACCAAGAAGGAGATCCTTTGAAATGCTACTGAAAGGAAGGCCAGCTTCATTGTAACAATCAGTGAGCATACCATTGCACTTAGGGATGAGGTTCTGCTCTTGAAAATGCAGCTCAAGTAAATCTAGCTGAAAAAAGCTTGCAGAGGATGATGAGAGAGTGCAATTAAGCCAGCCGGCTGAGCAGGTGTCACTGGGTTGTTTGTTACCAAACAAGCTGTTGTTGCTGACCATGTCCATCCCTTTATGGCCACAGTGCACCAATCATCTGATGGCTCATTCAGGATAACATGGCACCAAGCTCAAATGAACAAGACAGCTGACTTTACTCAAACGGCCTTCAGTCAGCAGATCCCTGCAGAGGACCCTTTGGGATGTGGTGGAACGGAAGATTGTCATCAGCTGGCAAATCTGCAGCAGCCGTGTGACGCAGTCACATCAATGTGGAGTGAATGTCTGAGGAATGTTTCCAGCAGCTTTTTGATTCTGAAGGCAAAACCCAGCATTCACAGGTTGTACCTAATAAAGTGTCTGGTGTGCATCTGAATGCACAGATTGCTCTAATGAAAAGTAGGACATGCTGTAAAGACCCCAGAGTCCCTGAACAGTGCTACAGCAACACGAGGCTCTGTTTGCTCCTGCCTCAAAAAAAA